AGTTTTAATGTTCCATATTGTTACTTATTCAAGTTACTGTTACATATTAACGTCCTTTGCCCTCCTTTTTATTTGTATTTAATTACGTATTATAACAACCATTTTTGACGTTTCAATATTTCTAATGTACTGTGTACTACTACTACTACTACTATCGGGACAAGCAGTACATTCGGTTTGTATGTTTCTATATTCTTATACATATTACTGATATTATTCTTATACAATATTAAAGTGAGAACTAAAACTATTATTACTAATATTAATAACGTAATATTAGTTTGTTCTACAGCACAATATAATTGATTGTAAGACTGACTAGTCATCAGATATGTTCATTTTTTCTGTAACACTACAGTATAAGTTATAACTTGCACTGTTATAATTATAGTATAAATATAAGTATTACTATATTAGTTAATGACTTCTTATTGTCTTAGTCTTAGTTTTATGGGGTAGTATTTTGGAACTTCTTAGAATAGTTTAAAAACTTAATATATAATTTAAATTACCATTAAAAAAATAATTATGTAAAGGTCTGCAATTACGTTATACACCAAAACTAGTACAAGTATAAAATTTTGTTTTGGTATCTATTATTAATTAGTCATTCCAATTAAGAAAAGTTGTTTGGGAGCGTAGTTATTAACTTAAAATGGGAAACCTTCATACCAGCATATTACCATGTAATTTATATTCTGTTATTAGAAGGGAAAGAGTTCCATATGGCACCCCCACCCAAAAATTGTAGAATTGCCTGGATAAAAAAGATTATAAAAAGGGTTTATTTTAAGGGGTGTATCAGAAAAATTGGGGCATGGCTTTGACAAGCATTTGTGTGAATACATGTGGAGGACATTATATTCTGATAAAAGTAGCCTTTTTGATGCCTTTATACAAGACATTTGTAAAGTTTATCCCCAAGAAGAATATACATCTAATTAATGAAGTAAGTGGTATAATGATGTATTAAAATTATCAGATCATACTATTAATATGATTTATTAATACATAGATACTTTGATGAATTTTTAAATTGAGTGGGGGGTGCCATATGGAACTCTTACCATTAGAAGTACTAAGCATTTTCAGCAAAAGTAAGATTCCCTAACTTTATTCAAAGAAATATATTTCTACTCCTAGTCTTTTTTTTTTGCACATTAGGTAAGAAGTGTGTGTGTACACACACAAATTATATAGACCATATAAAATGCTTACTGTGTGAGTAATGTCAATTCATTATATTTGAATGTGATTTTGTACAGGTGATTTGTGGTTATTAATAACACTCAGTCTTGCCTGATATTTAAATGTTTTTCCTTGAGAGCGTAGTACTGTAAGAGTCTTTAGCTATCATACATCTATTTTAAAGCAGCTATAAGAGAATTAAGTTAATTTTTGAAGTATTTATAATTGACACAAGTTTTTGAAATTTCATTGCTACAAAGCAACAAAGTGAATAATTTTAATCATGAAATTTCATTTTCAATTTTTATTGGTGCATATTAATTAAATGATTAGAAACAGATTGAAAAAAAATAGTGAATACTTTCTTAAAAAAATACTAAAGTCATCTATTTGTGTAGTATATTGCCATTTTAGTAGTGATGTAGCCACAGTTATACTATAGTTATTGAGGTAAAGTGAGTGAGCCACATTATTCAACTGTATATCATTTGAAAGTTGCTGATATTTATCAGAATACATGTTACTTGAAATGAGTAAAACATTTTTTATTGTTTGGCATTTTTGTTTCTAAAACAGTCAGCTGTACAGGGTTGCTAGACTTTGCAACAAAAACAAATTTTATAAGCTCTCAAAACAGCTATGCTGTACTGATTTCATAGATATTAATTAAACAATAAATAAGTCTGTTACAACAATTGTAGAGGAAAAGTGAAACTTAAATATTTGTATTTTTCAGGAAATCATTAATTCCCTTCTTAAACTCCTGAAATTGCTAGCATCTGCTAATGCTAATAACAACTCATTCATAAGTCTGTTACTGTTAGAAAAATAAAACTGACTCAACAAGAGCTTAGATAGTCTTTTACAAATCTTAATTTTGTCCTGTTATTTTCAGAATATTGCACATAGAAATCCATCTTTTGATGTTTTGTATTAATAGTCATTTTTTGTTTTCACAGGATGTAACATCAGTTGTTCAGCTGATGCTAGAGAACAAGAGAAACCATCATACATGTCCAATACTTCTGTAGAAGCTAGTACATGCTGTTAAGTAAAATTTAAAATTTTCAGTGAACTTTTATTTTCCAGTACTAGTTCCAAATGTTCATCAGTCAGTAGCATGGAAGATGCAAAAAAGCCAGTTGTTGAATTAGAACAAACTTTAAGTGATAATGACTTGTTGTGGTATTGGCAAAAGTTGTGGTTTTCTAAGGAACAACCATTGCTAGACAAGTTAAGCATGAGTGCACACACTGCTGATGTTTGGAGATCTTTGATCAATCAAATTGATTTTGCATGGCAAAACAAAAGGCAAGTTTTTTTAAAAAAAGATCCATAAGATCTGCTTAACTGGTTTAGAGATAATTACCTCCTTTATCTTTTTCCATAAATGCACCATAAGATTTTATTAGCTTTGCTGATAGCAGAGCAATACTTCATTGGTTTAAGTGACATATAACACTTAAGGTGAACAAGAGGTCTATTTTTCCATTAAGGCTTTCCCATACACTAAACTAAACTAAAAAATTAAAAGAAAGTAAATATTAATAACACACTCAAAGACAGTCTTTACCATTTATTTATTTATCAAACTTTCCTCTAAACTCCTTTAAATTTACTGCATCCATCACATTTAAAGCAACCCATTCCAAAGATCAACCATCCCATTAACAAAACATAACTTAGTTGAAAGTGACTCGTACCCTGTCATACTATTGAATGGGTTCCCATCTGTATTCAACATGTGATTGAAGTTATGGTAATTCAAGTACGTTGTATTGTACTTACTATAATGAATTGTTTTGTTTCTTTTTACAAATCTCTGATTAGGCCTCATTTAGAGCATTGAACTTTAAGTTTCTTGCTATAAGAAGGTACCCCCTAGTGACTCAGATAAGACAGAAGACTTGTAATGCTAAAAATTGGGTTTTGATACTTGCTGTGGGCAGAGCACAGATATTCCATTGTGTAGATTTTGTGCTTAACATCAGACAGTCCAATCCGACAATCTTTAAGAAGGGCATTAAGTTTTTGGAAATGGTTCAAAGTAGGGTTACTAAGATGATTCCTGGAATGAAGGTCTATCATATGAATATAGGTTAAGGACATAATGCTCGTAAATTATTTTCGCTTTATAAAAGAAGGGTTAGGGGTTTGTTTGAAGTGTTAAAAATTATAAAGGGAATAGATAAGATTGATGCACCATATTGTTTTGTGTTAAATGTGAGACTGATTGGACTAGGGGACATAGATTTAAGATTTGGCTGGGTAGAAGTTGTCTGCAAATTAGGTAACTTTATTTTTCAAGCAGGGTATTCTGCCTTTGGAATGGATTGTGTTCAGATGTGGCAGTTGCATTAGGATTGGGAGAGTTTAAAGAGAAAGCTTGATATGAGTACTTGAGGAGTCAGGGCTGGATATAAACAAATTGGTGTTTGATGAAATGAATGGGAATCTATGATGAGGCAAAGGTGTTGTTTCTTAAATGTTATTTTAAATGTCAATTTCTCTGCCTCTATGAAGGTGTTATATTGAAAATGTAAATATACGACGTAACCTTCAAGAATAGAAATAGCTTTCCCATGGAACAAAATGTTTTTATGAAAACACTTGTGTTAGAGAAATATATTAAAAATTAGCATTCCATTGTTATTATATGTTTTTGTTTTTGTGTAATGTAACTGTTCTTTTTACTGCTGTTTTGATCTATGTTTTTAATGTATTGTTACATATCTGCTCATTTGTTAATTTCTGGTATAAATTCGTTCTGAGGAACTTCAGCGATACAATTCCTTTCTTAATTAAAACTTGTTTA